TCACATGATACCACACATCAGGCTCTTGTAAGTTCACGGGTGACAGAATATAAGGCCTTCAACTGACTGATGCACTTCCCCAGTATCCCTTTCAGTAACAGACATTGTCGGAAGAACTCTCGATCGATGGAGTTGAATACCATCTTCACATCGACAAGTATTGCAAGTCTCGGGGGTATTTAGGTGTGCCAATGTTCCAGAACCTGGCAGACGGTGAATAACCTGTTGATACACTCACCTTAAGGTCTGAAGTCGAAGCTGTTGTCTACGTTAGATACCTGTACCAGCCTATGTCACGTTTACCGGGACCAGAAGTATTCACAATGTCGCAATGTGGAAGGTTGGATTGTAGGTTTACATCCACTGAGGTCCCACTGTTACCACATATTTTACTCACATTCATTAATATGGTCCTCACATTAATAACAAAGATGATATGTGGGACACTAGGAAAGACTAAACAGGAGCATAAACAACCTAGAAATCAATGAGAATCCTTATAGCAACCTTTGGTGAAAAGTGGAATGAGGGCAAGCACACTGGCTCTTCTAAGTATGGACATGTTCACGGCAGCGATCTGATGATAGTTACCACAACGAGATAACTGAGCAATGTACACCACATACGTCCGTTACTAGATTAACTCTGCTGAGCCCCATTTTAAGAAATGTAGTGTTTAGCCGTGAATAAATTTACAGTCAGAGCCGTCGTTGATATTCAACCTTTTTGACCCCACAATAAAAGAATCTCCAATAATAGACAAGCTATGTAGAACTTTCGATGCACTTTCAAGACTATGGTGAAGCAGATTTCCAAACCACAGAGATACGTAACTATCACAGGTAGCGTCAAATATCCTACTACCAACTACAAGAATGACATCAACAATCCGCAGGTTGTTGCAAACCTCGATGATACCATGTTGACCTTGTAGTAATATCCCATAGTTCAATTGCGTTCCAGATTATGTAATGTTTTATAAAACGTTCGTAGATGAGATGTATGAGCAGAGTATATTCCGATTAAATCTCACTATTTTACCTGCTATATGTCTCTCACTGTCAATGTCACTGCCTTTTGTTGTTGGGTCCTGATGATCATGAGGTACTTACTGTACACTTGACACGTCAGGTTGTTGGCATGCGTATTGTTGTTAGAACCCTGGATGTAACATTGAGATGGAGTCTCCATAGCTTACTGAAGTAGGTGCAAGTAACATGAGACGAGGAAGTACGGCACGGTCAGTCGGACTGGTACCAGAGGTATTCGATGGCTGGCGGTAAAGAATTTGTTGTTAAATTAATCGAGCTGTTTCACGGTCTCAGAAATGATCCCTTCCGGCTGGTTGCTCCACTCTTTAAGAGACTTCAGAAGTCCTGTGTAGGAATCAGCCTGAAGAACATGGTGTCTAGGATTCTAGATTCGAGAATTATAAGACACGTAGGTGAATTCCGGGAACACCAATCCCGAGAAAAGCAAACCAGTCTCCAATAGGATTATGCATATATCGACAAGACAGTCACCGTCCACCAGGCATTATAACACAGACACTTAGAGGCAACCAACACTAGCTGTATTTCTCGATCAGAAGGAGCTAGAACTGAAACGAGGTCCAACAGATCAACAGGCAAAGTAACTTAACTAGGTTAGTTTTAATGTCACTGTTGTCTATACTTCATGTAAGCATTTCGGTGTAACAGTTCTTGACTCGATCACGCTAGCCCTCACTTCCACGATGATAAATCCAACTTGCAGCACACTGAAAGTTATCACTGCCGACCAATGATTTGCACCACAGATGTCTGAAGTGTTCATTTCGTATTCCAGATAGTAGCGTCCTCATGAAGTTCACTACATGAAATGACCAAGAACACTAACTGTCGGGAAATGAGTCGTAGAGCACCTACTGTTCAGCTCTTTACAGTCCCACCGGATGGGATAGCTTGCTGACCAGTCTCTCAGTAGTTAGAAACAGGCTTGCAGCTGGTGTAATCATCTATCTCTTCATAGACCACAATAACTATATGGGGCAATAATTTCGCTAAGTAGCTACCAGCCTTGTGTCATATCAGAAAAGACCAGCAAACAGCAAAAACCAACTAGAAATAGATGGAAGTCACCGTGGCAAAGCACAAATGACTTCGAGAAAGTGGGGATTAGGTCTAACACAGCAGTACTTACCAGTTTTCAGTACGGACACGTTCACGGTAGTGATGTGATGACAACATCCTCAACGAGTACTAGAAATCCTTATTTCTTCCCCTGATGGGTAGGTATAAATATAGTTTCTCTAAGCGCACATTTTGCTACACACGCTAATGATAATGGTAATAACATAACATAACACAGCTGTTTTATTTTAGCAAATGAACAATCGTAACTGGACCAGGATTTACGTACGTCGTGTTTACCCAAGACTGTTTAACAGATATGAAATAGAACGCCATATAATAATCCATGGAACAGGCTGAATTCAACATCACTCACCTCAATCATACTAATAACTCCTCGCGGTCAACCGGAAATCATAGGTTAGCTCCACTAACAAGCGGCGAACCACGTGCCGAGCGTGTTTAATAATCCACTTCATGTACGAACATTCTGAGTGAGTCTTCACCGCCCGCCTCCCACACGATGGCGGGCTCAACTGCCCGACGTGGAATGGACGGACAGATCTCGTCAGGTAGGCGGAACCCGGGACGTTCAGGGCGTTGGAACTACCTAAGTTGTTATACCTCATCGGTCACCTGCCTTCACAACCCAATAGTCTGGTAACCACCCGCATACCCCACATCAAAGACACGTCACCAACATCCCAACCCTAACGTCAAACTTAAATGAACACGACAAGAAAAACAACCATCACAAACACTTTTAAAATCATCTTTTGGTGGCCCTAAATAGGGCCGTGGAAGCGTTCTCTACCATCCTCTCGATTTACTTCGACCCACTGTACTTAGTGACTGCTTTAGTGCCCTCGGAGACGGCATGCTTGGCAAGTTCACCTGGCAGTAACAGACGGACAGCTGTCTGCACTTCTCGGCTTGAAATGGTAGACTTCTTGTTGTAGTGAGACAGACGGCTGGCTTCAGCCGCAATTCTTTCAAAGATGTCATTTACAAATGAGTTCATTATTGACATAGCTTTGGAAGATATCCCCGTGTCAGGATGCACTTGACGGAGTACCTTGTAGATGTATATGGCGTAACTCTCCTTCCTCCTCCTCTTCTTCTTCTTGTCCACTTTCGGCGCCTTGATCTTCGAAGCCTTCTTAGCAGCTTTGCCCGATACCACAACCTTTGGCGGCATTCTCCAGTAGATAAACGCTTACAACCTCTAACCTTACTATTTCCTATTTATATTCCACACAAATTAAAAATGTCTCCTATGTCTGCGTCAGACAAATTCATTTGAGCAAGCTTATTGGATGATGTTTTCAAGGTTTCCCTCGGCCAATAGGTATGCAGCTTTTATTATTTTGCCGGCTGGTAAGGCGTTTGTTCAAAACGTGACCTTAGTTTGAGTGTGAAAGGAGTGGTTTATTCGCAAGCTTGCCTGTAAATTCTACTCTGTTTAAAACAATGAATCAGAAGCGAGTTAATTGTTTCCCAATTCTTGGCTTTCTGAAAATCTGGAAATTTTATTACATGTGGCAATGTTGACTTGATACGAATTGCAGTGTTTTTCATGAATAAGAAATAGCTACCTATCTACAAGCTGGATTTACGGTTTTCAGCTGGTAAACTGAAACTGAGTTACGAATGAATTTACTTGCCTTACTTATAATGAATTGCAATTTGTTGACAAGGGATGAAGAAGAAAGTAAATGACCAGTAGGTTGCGTTTCAGCAACAGCATAATTCCTCTTCCTCTGCACTAGGGTGTATATATATACAATATAATTTGTGGTATGATTTTTACGTATCCCATGTAAAACCAGATAGTACATAATTAAAACTTAGTTCGCAGTATAAATCCATAGATAGGTCTATCATCCTCGTTTGCACGTAGTACTTGCTACTTTCAGTTTACGTGTATGGATTCTCTGAGTTCACCTGACACTTTTCCCTTGTTTATAGGCTTTTCTTTCCATCTTCAAAGACTGTCACTGCACGCAATTTCAGTCATCAGCTTACAAAGTTATGCCTAAGAATCACCTGACTGCTGTTGCACATGTAGTCTTCAACACTGATCTGTTTTTAATGACTAGATCACCTACTCATTTTTCACACATTGGGATGGATAATTACAACAGTAAAGCAAATCCGACTGTTCCTGGGGATTGGATAAAACACCTGAATGTGGTTACGACCCTTCCTTGGTGGTATAGTAGTCATGCTATCAAGACAGATTTTATTGTTTTGGTCTTCACAGGCTTATAGTCGAACTCCATATTTACTTCGCCAGCATCGTCGTGATGCAGGTTACGGATGAACTGTCTACTGAAGTTCAGATGTGTTCGTCATCTCTAATGTGTACTGCAATATCGAATGAACATCTGTTAATCAGATACTATGATTTCGACATAGTGGTTACCAATTAACAGATGGCGGCTGACTCGGCCTACTCATCAAAGTGAGCTAATAACCGAGGCTGCTTCGAACACTACCCATACAACTTTCCTCGCGCGCTTCAACAAGGCAGTGCTCGCAGCTTATCTGCATGCCTTCAGATATGGATGTTCTCTCAAAGTGGAGATATAGGCTTCAAATGCAACACATTCAGTAAACTAGGCTCTGCCAACCTTATAGAAATGTATGTTCAGTTAGACCCTTACATTTACTCAACAGCATACATACACAACAAAGTCAAAAACAAAATCACATTGTGGTGGTCCTAAATAGGACCGTGTCGCGTTCTCGTGCACACCACATACAGGTCACAACTCCTCACATACTTCACTCTACAACAACAACTCAACCACCAAAACCGTATAATGTACGCCCTTGGCGTTTCAAAGCGTACACAACATCCATAGCCGTAACTGTCTTCCTCTTCGCATGCTCCGTGTAGGTGACCGCATCACGAATCACGTTCTCCAAGAACACCTTCAGGACACCACGAGTCTCCTCGTAGATCAAGCCAGAGATACGTTTGACACCACCACGACGAGCCAGACGGCGGATAGCAGGCTTCGTGATACCTTGGATGTTGTCGCGAAGCACCTTCCTATGTCTTTTAGCTCCTCCTTTACCCAAACCCTTTCCACCTTTACCACGACCAGACATCTCTCAGTATGAAAGTCAGCAAAACTTGTCGTGAACCAACACGAGACAACCACTCTATACAACACCTCTCTCCCTAGTCTTCTCGGTCACTCAGAAAGTGAAGCCATTTTTCGACCAATCACATTCATCTCACTGAGTGAATTTTTCACACACAACATTCGGGTCAAAATCCACCAACTGTCAATTGAATGATGAGTCATTGGACAAGGGATATTTCGTTTCATGCAAAATTTTCTGTTTTCCTCTGCGGAAGCTTTATTGAAATGCTGGGTTTCGGTGTGTCTGTGATTTGCCAACCCGCTCAATATCTTATGTGTTTGAGAGAAGCAAAATTATGCATTATGTCGTTTCTTAGTAAATATTTCGCGTGATGATGATAGTTGAGTTAGGAGACAATCTTAGAGATGCGATTGCCTTTGCACTCTTTCAAGGTCAACTTCCGCAGAATGAATAAAAGCCTATGCCATGTTCTGATGGAATAAGTAATTCAGCAAGCACATAAACATCCTTCAGTTTGCACTTTTTTAAAAACAACGAAAGGAATATATTTACTTCGCGTTTTTTTAAGAATCAGTTGGAAAAACACCTTGGAAGATATACTCATAATAGTCAAAATATATTGCATATTTGACGTTTAGACGCACATAGGTGATTAGGTGTGCTATAGTTACGGGAGCAAACATTGTCATTGATACTTCAAGAGGAATAATTTCGCCCAAAACATTTTGAATGGAATAGGAAGTTACTCAAATTGATCTTGACTAACTTCGTGGTTTTAGCTTATAAGTCATGTCAGTGGGTAAATTCGTGACCTTTGAAGTCACTCAGGTGAAATGGCTGTTGTGAACTTTGCGGAGACGGCATAAAGTTGTGTGTAAACTACTTCATCTGTAAGCATTATTTCCTGATCATCGTTTCTTGTACACATTCTGTACATTCTTCCTTATACTTGTGAAAACGAATGTTTTTTATATATACACTTTTTCAGTTGTAGCGGTAATTGCATCTTTTGCTGCTGCTAATCGTGGAAGTATAATGTGCTTCTAACCATTCCGACTTCTGCCTCCGTGACTATTGCCTGTCGTGCATAATAACTGATTGTCTTGGGAATTTACAGGACTTCTCATCCTACTTCCAAATATTACGACAATCAAGCCGACCGACGACCACAGCGGAGAGACAACAAATATCGCCTTCTGATCTGTGGAGTATCCCGAAATTGTGGTGGACAATACCGAAGAGATAACCTCCAAGTAACCAGTGATTATCTATGACATTGACAATACTATTTGTGCTATAACGTATAACTTTTCATACATGTGTATCATAAAATCCATTTTTCTTGTAAATTGTACGTAGTTTGTCATTTTGGTTTACTTGACATTCTTTCGGTCCACTATAACTTCGACGTTATAATTCTGATTCATATGAACGGTGAGGTAGAAGGAATGATGCTGAGAATAAATAATAATAATAATAATATTATTAATATTATTAATAATAATAATGACTATATTCCAGACATATCAACGAACTTACTCCCTGTGCAGGAATGTCCAATGAAATAATTATAGCATCTTAGTAATATAAATGATAACAGTAATACAAGTAACAATGTGAAACAACTAGCTGTTGTTAGGTTATAGTCTGATGTGAGGGAGGGAATAAGTAGAAATTGTGTGTGTGAGTCCGGTGTTGAAATCTGCAGTTCTATCTAACTATTAAAGCAATAGTTATATGATGTGTTTTTGAGTTAAGTAGTCGGCTGACATTTACCTGTGACTAATTTTCTTAATTGTCTTGTTAACCTGAAAAACGGTGGCATTAGACAGAGACCATACAACGTGGATAAGGTACTGGCACACTTGTAGGTCATTTGTTTTGTAGGTTATTGGTGGAGAAACATCTGCGTTCATTAATGCGGTCGTTTCGAAAAGAGCGATAATAACATAGATTTGCATGTATTTGATTCTACTAGAATTGGGCAACTGTCTGACTGCAGTTTCCTTGTAAGGGTGTTTAGTTCAAAGCTGTGTTCGGCGTTATCTGAGAGTTTCGCCTATTGATTCAGCTACTCAACACAAGACATAAATAACTGACACTCTATACACAGTAAATAACAACGAATGTAGGTTTGTAGAAAACCAGGTTTACGTGCACATAGCACTTTCACGTGATCTACAACATTGTTCACGTCAGACTATTGAAGTTTTCTCAATTCTGACTGACAGTCGAACCAATCTACTCAGTCTTTTCAGTTTTAACCGTGGACTGCGAGTTACTTGTCACATTCACATATATCTTAGATCGTCAGATAGGCAAGTCAACATGTGAAAAACGTGACACTCAGGCGATATCGTTGAGTGTTGACTGCCAGACCCAGTCAACATTCCGCCGGGAAAGGTGGAGTAAATTGCGGTGAGGAAAGATAGGGGGTTAATCATGCGAGACTCCGCAATGACATATTTTGTCTTTAGAGTTACACCACTTACTATTTATCAGTAGTGGATAGAGTCTTGACTTCATGTTATGAATACTTTGCAGCTGCAGACCACAGTATTCGTGTCCGACTTAAATAAGCCTATATTTTATGACCTCTTTAAGAAAACTAAATTCCATATTACAGTTCCGCCAGATTATCCTCCTAATGTAAGCGTGAGTCACAGGTAGGCAGGCTGCAAGCGTGATAGTTCAAGTGAAGTGTATGCACTGTTGTTTAACTAAGTAGTAGTCATTGGCGCGTAATTGCTTTCAAACTACTCTCTTTGTTCCAGTGACATGCATCTCTTAACTTTATAACTCAGGTGAGATTATGAATGGATTCCAATGCACTAACTTCGATTGGCGTGGCATATGAAGGTCTGTAACTCGGTGTGATAATTATTATCTAAATGTACTCCTAGATGGAAGAAGGAGTGTTCGTCTTCGAAGTACGCTTTTCCGTCAACGTAGGAATGTGGAGGATGACATTGTTAAGGAGTACTTACGTTCTACGCAGTTCCTAATTTTGAAAGAGGTCCTGAGAGCCTTAACTGGAGGTGAGCTTCACAGGCTTTCTAAATAGATGGTACAATTGATGATCACAGATAGACATCATCGGATTCGGAAATACCAATCAGTGATTAACAACACGATTAAACAACGCAGCTCAGAGAACACAATACAAGCATGTCTAATTAGATTTGAAAACTGCAGTCAGAAATGAATACCGATCGCAGTATGCTTTCACATAGCCTTTGATAACTTCCATTTAAGCTGTTCCGGAAGAGAACATAGCTGAGTGCACGCTTGATAACATTATAGTTGATGGAGTGCAGGTGCAAATCGAGGACAACCGCGAACGTGCATTGTAGTTGTGTAACCTAAGCAAACTTTAGCAGGTGCACCCAATGAAACGCTTGAAGAGCGACGACGTTTTTCGTACAGCTACTGAAAGATGTCTAACAGAAGACATCATTTGACAATCGGTAAAGAATTTTACGAATTGTACACCGACTGGTGCCAGAAATGCTAACAGATCCTCGGAGAACTTTTACTGAGCACCTAAAAACTGCCTGAGAAAGCGCATTGGTTTCTACCTTTACCTACATCTAGGTTTGGAAGAAGATTCACGTACAAGCTTTTGAAGTTGTCCAAATACACAGACCAACCCTTTGACCATGCGGAAATATACAACCTCAACTCCAGCATTATAAAGACGACATCGACTGCAATGTTACGTCACATCTTTCATGACGACTTCACTCGTCAACATGATGTCACTTCCAGTATTGCTTTGTACGCCTCCTCATCCACTTGTCTCTATCAATATTCATTTATTTTCTGATTATTACGCAGTTGTTTATTATTTATGACTGAACACTCGTCAAAAATCACTCCATTTACTCTACCAGTTACTAAGTCACTTACATATTAATAGCTTGCTTCATATTACCAATTTTAATTACTTTATTGATTATTGGCATCTTAATTTCTAAAACTTATCATCTTCATGACTTACATAAAATCTATGACTATTGTTCACCAACACCCACATCCACCACCACTTGTTGGTACTTTGATTGAGTTGGAAGCCAATGTATTATTGTAGAGCCCATGACGAAGACCTAATTGAAAAGGAATATATTTCTTCGTCCAATCAGTCTTTATTCTGTTGGTAAGCAGTCTAGAGTGATTTCTTAAGTGCAAGTAAAATTTACCACAAAAGAGCTATTGGGAAGTTTTCGAAATAATTACTTTATACTGCTCACATGTACATTAATCCCCATCTTAGTTCTAATATTCGGTTTACTTAACATCTAGTTGTATATCGATATGACGTAGTTGTTTTTCATAGTTATGTTTGGATGAATACAATGTTGCTTCTATGGACAGCTTTCAAATTCCCACTGAGTCATTTGAAGTCATGAATCGAATCTTAGTAGTGCTTAATTTATGGAATGCTGATGTTAGCGAAGTGTTATTATGAGCTTATTATTTTGTAGGGTAAGAAATAATGAACTGCCAGTTTATTCGTTACTACGTGCAGTTTAGATTCGCTTCAAAATTATCGTGAATCGTATTGACTGATGGAGCTTCCTAACTCATTCAATATTATGTGGCTTCTAGAATGTCATGGTATGCGTAAGGAGATGAAGATTTCAGTCACCCTCTCGAAGTGCTGTCATGCTGCCGGGGATTCATAGCATCTTCTAGGGAAGTCCTACTTACTGCCTTCACTTAGCCAGAGGTGTTTCTACAAAAGTGAGAGTGCAAAAGCGAACGTCCAGCGCTATCAACGGATTGGTGCAGACGGGGGGTTTATCTGAGGGAGTTGGGAAACCCTGGTTCCAAACCAGTTGTGCATACGGGATCCACGTTGTAGAACGGCTGGCTGGGGTTTGAACCTGCCTTGGTCAGCGGCAACCATTAAAATGCAGCACCTTACGTCACTACTCTGCTCTGTGGGTCAGACCTGCTTCGGTCGGGTGACTTTGAAGACCACCCTAACAACTGCTAAAATAATCAGGTTTCGGTATTCCGGCTAGATAGGTAGTTTTTCATAGGATAGAGACTCCCAATTGGTTATCTCAGCAGTTGCTGTGACGGCCTTTAAGGTCTCCCCTTCGGTCTAGACGTTTTGGGAGTCTTACAGGCCACATAAAAATTATCAGCCATAAATAACAATGAAGAATTTAAGTCACTTACCATATCTTCCTGCGACGAACATCTTACTCAATTTCTCAGTTTATTATCGTCATTATTTTTCATATCTGAACTATGCTGTCTCTTCGTTATCGTTTCAAAATTTGTCTTTGCATACATCTTCGTTTATACTTAGCTGCTCGTCAGTAACTGAAAGTTTGGTCTGCTTGCATCGTCTTGAGTCTCGAAGTGGTTGCCTATGCAAAGTTGTCCCCTCTTATGATACCGAATACAACTTTTTTGACAGCGTGCTCTTCATTTAAGCTGGCTGCCTTAAACATTCGGAACTTGATGGAGAACAGACAGCATATAAGTTTAACTAGGAGGGCAAAAAGCCTAGTTATCACTGAATGCTGTATCTGAGAGATCTGTGTAGCAGATCTCACGGAAGTGTTTTGAATAACTTCCCCATCTGTCGGCTCATAAACCATATTCACATCGCATCTATCCTGGTCCACTGTAACATCAAGAATCCACCACTGCGCAGACTTTTGTCAGTCTACATGTGAGTCGCTTCCACTCCTCATTGTTCTCGGAGTCTGCACGAATGCATTCATGTGCATCCATTAATTCTGGGGGAGCTGCTGATACCCACTCGCTATTTTCATCCACACCTCGGGACGACTACGGTCTTCAACCCTGTTCTTACTGGAGATGACAACAAGCTTCTTCTGAATGAATGAGTGTTCTCTTCCGATAACTGTCTAGCCAGTTCCTCACTGTAGAGCTGCACTCGCAATGGTCTTGTTGCTGTAGTTTTCCCCCATCTACTGAGACTCAGACATATACGGTACCCGCAGACTGAATTTCACACAGACCGGAATGGCAAATACTAGTTGTGTTGAATAGGCGAATCGCATGCAAGTCTTCACACTTAGTAAACCACTGGATTGATGCTTCATACCACCACCTTAAAATGAAAGAATGATGTGTGCACTTCCGGTTAAATGAGACAGACAAAGTCAACGTAGAACCTCGCACACAAGTGCATCGGCTCAAGTTGCCATACATCAGAGTAGTACACAAAGAACGGGTTTACGCAAGAAGATTAGTATCAAAGTTGTGTAAGAGAGAGAATAAACAATCTGAATACTACGGTTAGTTCAAATACGCAAGCTTTAGAAGATGACAAAGGAGTGAAGAAATCTACACCACTGCCACCAATTTTCAGCCATGTCACCAACAGTCCCCAAACACTGATTCCTATCCTTTCTATGACCACAACTAGGCAGTCTACATCTCATACGGCTCAGACCAATAGTCAGAGACTTCATCGACCGTTGCGACGTCTTGGTCTGTTCACCCTGAACCCTCCTCCAACGTCATCTAACTTCTTCTCGCGTGGCACGTTGAGGTAGGAGGTGTATCTGGGTGGGCAGTACATGTCTAAGCTATCTCGGTGGACTTATGTTCACAACGTTATCAATCGGTATACCTGGCCTACCGAATAGCCTTCGCCTGACCTCAATATTGCTCACATGGTGATTCAAGCACACGCAAGAGAGAGAGAGGATATGGAATCTGAGTGTAACGGTTAATGCGAATATGCGACCCCATAGAAACTAGCTATCCTTCAGTTTATTGTTACAGACTGGCCATTTATATGCTTAGCTGACTGCTCTTTTAGTACGTCGCTCTCGCCATCGTCTACCAATCGAGGTATAGTAGGCTTCACTGTCTGCTGTTTCCTCCGTTCATCAAGGTGAAGACATACAGGAGCGAGTGTACCACTTGATCGGAGCCCAAATTGATAATGTAGATAGCTTAACCGTGGAGTTCCCCACTTCATGACAAAGATACCAACCTCCAAAAAAACTATGGTCTGAAACGCCCCACTAACTAGCCTACTTCCAAATCTACAAACTCTTATCCTTCCTAGCACCAACAATATTCTAACTGATCAATCATACGCATAGCATTCTCTTCTCTACGACCGTCTTCTGAAAAGTAACAGTTGGTCATACGAACAACGGTCAGCTGCATTATGCAACCACACAGTCTCACGGTGGTGACTGTGGTGTAAAACAAACGACAGGACACATCGAAAATACTGGGTATGAATGAGGCATAACCTCAGCAAAATCTCATCACACCGTGCTGTGACAGAGCCAAATGTGTCAGTCACAACAGTAATTGCCGACCAGACGTGCACTGAATACAAGTTATCAATAATTCTAGTCAACCACTAACAACACAGTCGGATGCGAACAAAATAATTTTCCAATTAACATCCACATGTTCCGAAATATGCACTAGGTATAAAGTTAGGTGACGCCAATACTAAGGATACCTAAATAATAGAAAAAGTTGACTGCACCCAGATCTTCCATCTCGAAATCCAGTTCCCATATCAACACCAGTACTCATTCATAATAAATGAAACACCGATCTATGCAAATCCAATATCTTCCATGAAGCCAGAAGAAAGAGATGAGACTTAAGGCCGTCAAACCAGCCGCTACTACAACACCTTCTGTACGCTGCATAGTCACAAACACAGCCAGCGTTCCTCATAACGACTTAACAGGCGTCACTAGGCTAAGGTGGCACGCTAAGGATCCCCCCGCCCCCCCCTCAACTAACATCCATCCCAAACCTCCCTCCCGAACACACGAATGGCCGGTCAACTGCATACATACACAACAAAGTCAAAAACAAAATCGCATTGTGGTGGTCCTAAATAGGACCGTGTCGCGTTCTCGTGCACACCACATACAGGTCACAACTCCTCACATACTTCACTCTACAACAACAACTCAACCACCAAAACCGTATAATGTACGCCCTTGGCGTTTCAAAGCGTACACAACATCCATAGCCGTAACTGTCTTCCTCTTCGCATGCTCCGTGTAGGTGACCGCATCACGAATCACGTTCTCCAAGAACACCTTCAGGACACCACGAGTCTCCTCGTAGATCAAGCCAGAGATACGTTTGACACCACCACGACGAGCCAGACGGCGGATAGCAGGCTTCGTGATACCTTGGATGTTGTCGCGAAGCACCTTCCTATGTCTTTTAGCTCCTCCTTTACCCAAACCCTTTCCACCTTTACCACGACCAGACATCTCTCAGTATGAAAGTCAGCAAAACTTGTCGTGAACCAACACGAGACAACCACTCTATACAACACCTCTCTCCCTAGTCTTCTCGGTCACTCAGAAAGTGAAGCCATTTTTCGACCAATCACATTCATCTCACTGAGTGAATTTTTCACACACAACATTCGGGTCAAAATCCACCAACTGTCAATTGAATGATGAGTCATTGGACAAGGGATATTTCGTTTCATGCAAAATTTTCTGTTTTCCTCTGCGGAAGCTTTATTGAAATGCTGGGTTTCGGTGTGTCTGTGATTTGCCGTCTCGCTTAACAATTTATCGTGTGGTTGCTCGGACGGTTACGTAGTAATGCGTGCTCCTATGTTGATAATTTTATCGTGTGTGTGAGGAGTTTTCGTAAGCTTTGTCACCATTCATATTTCTCCAGGGGTAATTCCTGTTAGGTTTATTTTGAGGTTAGTGGGATTTGCCAACACTGGAGACTGATTGACCTGTGGTTTTAGATGAAAATGGGGTGACGCAGTCAACGCGTTAATGAATGGAAAGTGGATGACAAATGACACGGTTGTCCATCCTAGTGGTAATAAATAGGTGTCTGTTCGATGTTGGGATATCAATATGTGGTGTAGTGTGATGGAGCAGCTGTGAAGGAATCTCTTCACTTTGTGACGACTTGTGCTTTAGGTCTGAAATCCTCTTCAGTGATGAGGCGCAAATCCGTAATATCAGATAGACATGTGTGGAAACTGGTGGATGTTGTTACCTCAGGATAATCTTGCATCTACGTGGACATCGTATTGTTTCATACTTGTAGGTGAGAAGTGTATAACTGGAAATTTATAGATATTACGTTGATTTCATGTGTGTTCCTCATCTACTTCTGAATGGTTTTAAGAAGTGTCAACATTGGAGTTGATATACTTGACGGGAACTACTCGAATTACACAACTCACATGATACCACACATCAGGCTCTTGTAAGTTCACGGGTGACAGAATATAAGGCCTTCAACTGACTGATGCACTTCCCCAGTATCCCTTTCAGTAACAGACATTGTCGGAAGAACTCTCGATCGATGGAGTTGAATACCATCTTCACATCGACAAGTATTGCAAGTCTCGGGGGTATTTAGGTGTGCCAATGTTCCAGAACCTGGCAGACGGTGAATAACCTGTTAAGTAGTCGGCTGACATTTACCTGTGACTAATTTTCTTAATTGTCTTGTTAACCTGAAAAACGGTGGCATTAGACAGAGACCATACAACGTGGATAAGGTACTGGCACACTTGTAGGTCATTTGTTTTGTAGGTTATTGGTGGAGAAACATCTGCGTTCATTAATGCGGTCGTTTCGAAAAGAGCGATAATAACATAGATTTGCATGTATTTGATTCTACTAGAATTGGGCAACTGTCTGACTGCAGTTTCCTTGTAAGGGTGTTTAGTTCAAAGCTGTGTTCGGCGTTATCTGAGAGTTTCGCCTATTGATTCAGCTACTCAACACAAGACATAAATAACTGACACTCTATACACAGTAAATAACAACGAATGTAGGTTTGTAGAAAACCAGGTTTACGTGCACATAGCACTTTCACGTGATCTACAACATTGTTCACGTCAGACTATTGAAGTTTTCTCAATTCTGACTGACAGTCGAACCAATCTACTCAGTCTTTTCAGTTTTAACCGTGGACTGCGAGTTACTTGTCACATTCACATATATCTTAGATCGTCAGATAGGCAAGTCAACATGTGAAAAACGTGACACTCAGGCGATATCGTTGAGTGTTGACTGCCAGACCCAGTCAACATTCCGCCGGGAAAGGTGGAGTAAATTGCGGTGAGGAAAGATAGGGGGTTAATCATGCGAGACTCCGCAATGACATATTTTGTCTTTAGAGTTACACCACTTACTATTTATCAGTAGTGGATAGAGTCTTGACTTCATGTTATGAATACTTTGCAGCTGCAGACCACAGTATTCGTGTCCGACTTAAATAAGCCTATATTTTATGACCTCTTTAAGAAAACTAAATTCCATATTACAGTTCCGCCAGATTATCCTCCTAATGTAAGCGTGAGTCACAGGTAGGCAGGCTGCAAGCGTGATAGTTCAAGTGAAGTGTATGCACTGTTGTTTAACTAAGTAGTAGTCATTGGCGCGTAATTGCTTTCAAACTACTCTCTTTGTTCCAGTGACATGCATCTCTTAACTTTATAACTCAGGTGAGATTATGAATGGATTCCAATGCACTAACTTCGATTGGCGTGGCATATGAAGGTCTGTAACTCGGTGTGATAATTATTATCTAAATGTACTCCTAGATGGAAGAAGGAGTGTTCGTCTTCGAAGTACGCTTTTCCGTCAAC